GGCGGCCGGTGTTGTCGGTGAGTCATTGGAGATTGGGGATTATTGGAGCTGGGCCACATCCGAGCGAGTAAGCGCCGTGGAAAAGGGACGGAGATCATCAAGGAAGCGACGATGACGGTGGCGTAGCGGAAAGCCTCACGCGAAGAATTTCAAACCCGCTCATTTTGAGCGGCTTTGGAAGTCGCGGGATCCCCCTCCCATAATACACGCCTAATACTTCAGAGGATTTCTTTTTGTTCCACTCAAAATTAACCAAACAACCGAATTTAGTAAAGACATGTATTTGTTTTACTTTACCCTCCTAATTCAGGCAACCAAATAGCCCCTTTATATTTTATTTCTATCTTATTAGTCGGACTGACCCGAGCTAGAGACCTAGTCCATATGTGAATATTTTGAATTCACAAGAGATCAAAAGTTTTAGAGTGGATTCACTTTGCAATATCACATTCACTTTTGATCTTCGACATCCATTGTTCACTTTCATCTTCAGCATTCCAAATGGTTCACTGTTCAACTATATTCAGGCACTAAGTTTATCATCCACCAACAAAATTAATTTGGTATTTTGTTCGGTTTATCTTGAAAGAGATACATTTTTGGCTTATCTCTCAAAATGGGTTTAATGTTTAGGGTTTTTAGGGTTTAGGGTATTTGCTTGTCTTTTCATTAGTTAGCATGTTACTTTCCAAAAAATGAGAAATTATTATTGTGTATCTTTTTTTTGAATTGTGTATTTACTTTGTATTCATTAGTATCAAGAGTCTTCCATTTCCAAACTTATGTTACACAATTTTCAAATTTTTTATGAGTTGGTTTTGTTCATTTTATGTATCTTTTTTTACTGTGTATTAATTGCGTATCAACTACGTATTAATTGTGTATTCACTAGTGTCGACTGTCTTCCATTTTCAAATTTATGTTGCACAATTTCAAATTTATATGAGTTATTTTTGTTCACTTTATGTATCTTTTTTTAAATTATTTGCATATTTTATTATGTATTTACTGTGTATTCACTATGTATTTTCATTTGATGTCTACATATGTATGTTCGACCTAAAACTTATCTCTGTTATGCATCAAGTTTTAGAACTACATGCGACTCTTTTATCGTGATAATAAACAAAAATGTTGAAGACACTTTGAAGAGATTAAACATCTAGCAATTTTTGAAGCTCCCAACATTCCAACAGAATGTTCCGCTGATATTTGAGCTGCTCAAATTATGGGATATTCCTCAACAATATTTTATCATCAAGAGTTATGAGTTAAAGTTCACCTCATATGAAGTTGTTGTGATGCTCGAAAATCAAATTTGAAAGAATTATTCTTTTAATATGTTTTGATATTTATTACTAATAGAATATATTAGATATGGGCAATCTAATTTGAAAGAATTATTCATTTTTATTTTAAATTAGATTATGGGGCATCATAGTTGCTCTGCTTACAAGATTCTTAAACAAAGGTATTGAGATCTACAGGCATAATGAGCCACTTACAGGATATATATCAATAAATATTAAGAGTGAAATGATAGAAATAAATAGATCAACTGACATTTTCATATGTTAAAGATATTTATCATATTTTGTTGTCAATTTTATTATTTCTTTTAATAACTATAAAATCTCAAGAAGGTTTCTTACTATTACAAATAATATAGATGAGTTATCGTCTATTAAATAGGCTGGTCCGACCATAAGAGATTTCTTAGTTAATGAGTTTAATAAAATTATCAAGAAATTTGCTATGCATAGTCACTTGGTTATATAAATAGTTTTGTACCTCTTCTAACTTGAATGTTAAGACCATCTAAGTATTATCCTAATTATTAATTCATTTTGCCAATTTATTAGTTAATATTACATTTGATCTTATGCATATTTGATTTTTGGAGTATTTTTTCAATAAATACCACTAAGTAACCTGACTTAAGACCATGTTTCCTTTGATGGGGCGATATAGATATATTTAATAATTCCCAAAAGGCCTCTAATTTATTTCCTACACTAAAGAAAAGGCAGGTGTGCATGCATATTTATTCTGGAGCACATTTCAATTAATGCCCCTATGATTAGAGATTTGCTAACGATGAAATAATTTATGCGCA